AAAAAAAAAAAAAAAAAAAGAAATAATGTTTAACTTCATTTAATTTTATTTCTCTGATTATTTTAGAGAAGAACAGTGAGGGCTACTTTATAGTCACAGGCTGCTGTAACAAAATACCATTTTGTTGTTTGTAAATTTCTTTGTCACAATTGTGGAGGCTGGGAAATACAAGGTCAAGGTATAGCTGATTCTTTGGTGAGGGCTGCTGCTTAGTTCCTAGATGGCTGTCTTCTCTGTATAGTTACAGAAAATTTAAAAATTTTAAATTTAAATATTTAAAAAATTTTTATTTTTGAGTACACGTTTGCAGTACATAGAGATTACATTCACCTTGGGAATTTCTACATACATATACATAACACATCTTAATTCTTTCTGTGTTCCCTTCCTTTCCGTAACTCCTCTGGCACGAAGAGCCAAGGAGCTCTCTTGGGCCTTCTTTATAAGGGCGCTAATCCCATTCACGAGGGCTCTGCTTTAGTATCCCCATTACTACCTCTAGGTTCCACTTTTCACTGTCATCACCTTTGGAAAGATGGAACGTTTTCGGATTTCAATATGTGAAACTTGGGGAAGCACGAACGTGCAGACCACAGCACAGACTGACAAATGAAACAATCTGACGAAGGGCTGAGGGTGTCGCTGTAGCTCGGTGGTACAGCATTTGCCTAGCATGTGTGAAGCCTTGGGCTCCCTCCCCAGCAGGAGAAACAGACAGACAAACAAACCAAGCCAGATTTTATGACAGCGGGCGTTGTTGGTCATGATGTGACCTCAACGTGAGGAGGCAGAACGCTCACACAGTCCCATGGAGGTAGAAGGCCGTCCAGCATTGTCAGCCTCTGCTGCATTCACAGGCGAATCCCCCCTCAGTGTCTCTCCCATGTGTTCGGGGAACACACACACGGGCATGGCAGTGTTCACTGCACCACTGTGTGTAGTGCTGAAGAGGTAGAAGAAATTAAATACGGGGTGTGAAATATATTGTGACACATTCACTTACAAGAATATTGTATAGCAGAAGTCATTGAATAAATGGGAGCTTCATGGCTCAGCATGAGTAGAATTTGAAAACTTAACTGTGATTGAAAAGGGTAGACTTCTGAATAGCAATAGTGTGATCCATTTATGTAAATGTTGAAACACACAAAAATCGTTTTTACTGTTTTGGGATATGTAAGTGTCAGAGGCATAGAAACATGGGAAAGAAGATACACTCCCACTTTAGGGTAGTGGTTGCCTCTGAAAGGGGAGGAGAGAATGTGGAGGGGGTGCATGTCTCCTCTGGTATTCTGTACTTAGGCCAGAGGTTCTCTTGAGCCCAGGAGTTGGAGACCAGCCAGGACAAAATAGCAAGAACCCATCACACAAAAAAAACTGTACAGGTGAATCTTTATAAAGTCACAGCTATGGTCACGTAGGACGTGCAAAGAGTTGCCACTTGTACTTTGCCGCAGTTGGAGTTTAGCAAGATTGTTTGGACACAATTTATACATTTTTCCATTTTTATACATTTTTCCATTTTTATACATATACAAATTTATACGTTTTGGTGGGATTGAACATAGTACTGAACATTTTTAAATTTTGAGAGCAGGTGCTTTAGTTCCTTTTCCTTGGCACTGGGACACAATACCAGATACCTACAACATAGAGGAGGAGATGTTTATTTTGGCTTTCGTTTTTAATCCATGGTTTGGCTGGCTCCAAGGCAGGAAGGCATTGTGGAAGGGCCTGGGCAAAGATTGCTGCCCACCTCTTGGCATCCAGCAAGCAGAGAGTCAAGGGTGGGACTGGGGAGAGAGCTGTATAACCTTTCTGGTCACGCCCACAGTGACCCACTTCTTCTGACCGGGCCCCACCCCCAGCAGCAAATTTGCTGTAGCCCCCATAATCCAGTTAAATTTCCAAATGTCCCACCTATGAGCTTACAAAGCTTTAGGGGGACATCTACCTATAAACCACAAGGGGGTCCCCTTAAGTCAGTGAGGTGCCCAGCTGGGCTGGAACTTGTGATCTTCCTGCATCAGCCTCCCAGGGTGCTGGGATCACAGATGTGAACCACCACACCTGACCACAGTTTATACATTTAAACAATAAATAGGCCACCTGGAAATTTATAGATTATATATGATATTTCCTGATAGTATTAACCGTGTAACACAGAATAGTACGTGTCAAGGATGCTTTTTAGATAATGACCAGAAGATTTTTTATTCGTTACATAAACCTGAAGGTGGTCATTCATTGCTTTTTCCTCCCTTGTTCCAGGAAACTCCCTTTGCTCCCTTTGAAGTCCATATGGCTCTGTATGATGAAGATCTCCTGAAAAATCCTTTCTATCTGGCCCTGCAGAAGTGGCGTCCAGACTTGTGCAGCAAGGTGGCCCAAATGCACGGCATTGTGAGTACATTGATCCTGAGGATTGTTGATCAGTGCGGCTAATGCCAGAAATGTGGGAGACGAGGGGACATTTAGAGGAAGTCACTTGCAGACCTTCTTAGTTTGCCAACCCCCATGCCCGGTGCATGAACAAGCACCGAGAGACTGCCTGACCCGCTTCCTCTAGGAAGCTTCCTAAGACTGCAGCCCAGAGTGTGTTCCTTTCCCTCAGCCTCTGAGATGAGTCCATGCCCTCTTGTGGTGTGCTCCAGATGCCGCTGTGTTCTCCCCTGCTCATTTCTGTCTCTTATTTCCCCTTGAACAGGAGGGCTATTCCAGGGCAGGAATTGAGTTCCTTTCAGAGCCTCAAACATCCTCACCTGAGCTGGGCGTTCACTCCTGCAGAAGAAGGGAACTTGTCGTTTTGTGCGTAGCTTTGAAGGGTGTTTCGTAAAGGGCAAGAGCTTCTTTAACATTGGCTGCAATTTAAATGCCTCTGGGGCAACGAGACAGCAGGAGTGGGAGAAACAGGTGGAACAAACTCGTTGTTGGCAGGGCCTGTGCTGTGTGGAGTGAGGGCAGGCCTGTGTTATGGGTCTGTCTAGTGCTCAGGTCGGTGACCCTGGTGGGCGTCTGTAGGTGGCATTTCAGGACACCGTGTGCTGGGTGTTTCTCATTATGACCCCTGCTTGAGATGTGGTCTGTCCTCTCTCTGTGTTGTTCCTTTGTCGTCTCATAGTGTGGGTCTACTTCTCCTACCCCATGGTGTGACTCTGCTCAGACATGTCATCTGTCAGGGGAGAATTTGGGTTGACTCTGGTTGGCCTCAGGTTCTTGGCTGTTTCCCTAGAAAACTGGAACTTTCCCCTCACTTCTACCCTTAGAAGCCTGGTTTCTTGAGGTCACTTCTCATTTTTATGATTAGTTTTTTACTTGGATTTTGGAAGTTTCAAAAAGCTCATAAAAATAAGAGAATATATCCAGGTATGTTGGTACATCCCTATAATCCCAGCACTGGAGAGGCTGAGGCAGGAGGATTCCTATGAGTTCTAGGCCAGCTGTGGCTACATAGTGAGTTCAAGGCCAGCCTGAATTATATAGTAAGACCCTGTCTCAACAAATAAACAACAAAAAAATTTTAAAAATCTATCTGTGTCCTGAGAAGAAAATAAAATCTCATGTAGCTCATCAGAGACATTCATTGTCATCTGTTCATCTCACCGTGGTTATTAGATGCCTCTGTATGTGCAGCACTATGTTTGTTACTGGGAGTTCATCAGGAAAGTAGGAGCATACTTCCTCCTCTTTGCCCTCCCTGAGCTTAAATCCTAGTTCAAGAGACAGTCACATCCTGGGCACACACATACTAACTGCGACAGTGGGGACACAGAAAAAGATTACCAGATGCCAAGCAGCGTTGCACAGGGAGGGTGGTCAGATGACCACAGCTTGCCCCCTCACCCTGTCGTCTCTGCGGTGGGGACACTGGTGCCTCCCTGTCCAGTTCTTAGTTGTGTTCCAGTCACGTTTGTTGGTTGAATGGCAAAGTGAACGTTTTCATTATCTGTAGAAGGCACTCATCCCCTCTGTCTTCTGAAAGCTCTGCAAAGTCTCAGCAGGTGAGTGCGGAATTTCTTTCCATGGGACAAGTGTGCCCACCTTAGAATCTTCCCTGGGGCTCCGAGTCCTTACTCAGCCCTCCAGCAGTGCATCGATGAGATCAGTCGACTTCTCCCTGTCCCAGAGCTGGTGACCTGCCTCATTTTCTGTTCATCTGGACCTGTGTGTATGTGGCAGCTGAGGGCACAGCCTGTTGTCCCCCACCCTTCCCTAGCTGCTCCTCTAGTTGGCTTCCTCCCAGGACTCCTTTCTGGAGAACAGCATCCCCTGCCTGCCATCACCGACTGCACAGTAAAACCCCTTCTCCTGTGCTTCCCAGGTTCCAATCACAGGGGCCTCTGTCAGCCCACGCTGTTCTAATAGGCACCCCTGCTCTTTAACCACCTGGCTAATTATGCACCTGTGACTTCCTCACAGGTGGTTAGGCAGGCTTGCATCCCTGAGGCTCTTGTCCATGGGCTGCTAAGGGAAAGGCCCTCGGATTTCCTGGGTGTACTGGGAGTGGGCCCAGTTACCCATAGGAAAAATACAGTTACAAAAAGAGTTTCAGTTTGATCTTTTTATTGACATCCTTTGATTTTAGGTTAATTGGGCTTGGGGGCTGGCCTAGGAACCTAGCCACATATCCATGTTCCCAGGAAATGATTTTTAAGCTGCAGCCCAGCCAACGGTGCTGGGGTCCATGTTCCAAGTCTCAGGATTCATTTAGTATACAGTTACCCAAAAAACTTAGCCTCTGCCATGTTTCAGGATTACATGCATGTGTGGAAAACATGGGAGGCCTTCAAGGAACTGTAGAAACAAGCCACGTGGCTGGAAGGATGAATGTAGGACACAAGTCATAGGTGGCTCTAGAGTGCTCAGTCCAGCCTGAATGGGGTTGGGAGAGTATGCTGGAGTAGGTGCCACTAACACAAATCCTTGCTTTTTATTTTCCTTTCCTTTATTTAACTACTGTAATTTAAACAGTTCCCTGTAAAGCAGCTAGAGTACATTTTACGTTAAGCTTTGAAGTGAACAGTCCCCAACTCAAGTCTGCCTGGTGACTGTGACTTCCAGGAGAGCTCTGCATCTTCCTCAGGGGAGAGCCCCTGAGCTCCCTGGGGACCGCCATAGCTGCTCTGGCTCCTTCACCCCTGTGTCGGCAGGATGTGATGGAAAGGGATTGGCCACACCTTCAGTGAGATGCTCTTGGCAGCAGGGGTCTCTTTCCCTCGGAAAGGGAGGAACTGAGCTTCTCTTCACAAGGCTAGAAAACTGCGGGGGCGGGGTAGTGGTGGGTAGGGGTGGGAGGGATGCCCCTGAAATTGGACGGTCCCTGTTCACTCAGCAAACATGGATTGGGCATCTGCCGCAGGACATGCAGTGTACTTGACCACCGGCTACAATGCCACTGGGGCTGGACAAGCTTTGGTCACACTGGGAAGGCAGAGGTTGTGGCAGTTAGTAAACAGGATGTGATTGTAATTGGGGCGGAGTTGCTGAGTGCCTGGGAAGTTCTGGTCCCTCCAGCATGGCCCTTCCGGGTCTCTGTGGGCCTTTCATCCTGACAGCTGGCACGTGGGTGGAGCCGTCTCTCAGCCTTTGGGGTGGGGCGTTAGGTGCCTCTTCTGGCTGGGTTCCTCTGTGCTGTCTCCAGGATCTTTGTTTTGTGTTCAATGTGAGCTGCCTTTTTTGTGTAACTCTGAGCTACCTTGGAGCCTTGATGTTGTTTCTCATTTCTAAGCAGATACTTGAGGGGCTCCCTTTATTTTAATTTTATTTTTCTACTAAAATTTCAGATTATCATATTTAACTTTAAATATATTAAAATAGAAAAGGACCGGGGATTTAGCTCAGGGGTTGTGCCGCCTGCCTTACAAGCACAAGATCCCAAGTTTGATCCCTGGTACCAAAAAAAACCAAGCAAACAATAGAATAAAATAAAGTAAGAAAAATAATGCAGTGAGCCCCACACAGTCTTCATTCAGCTTCGACAGAAGGAATGTAGTGGCCAATCATATTTTACCTCTATCCAGCATCAGCTCCTGGATTATTTTGAAGAAAATCCCAGGAAATTATATAAGGTAGATATATGAGTTCTCTGTATTTTTAGGGTTGGACTTTTTTTTTTTGGTGTTTTTGAAACATCATAACTATGTAGTTTGGACTGGCCTTGAACTTGCTTTGTAGCCCACGTGGGCCTGGAACACAACACAGTGATCCTCCTGCCTCAGCCTCCTGAGTGCTGGGCTTACAGGCTTACGCCACCCCGCCTGGCCAGGTTGTACTTTTTAAATGATAAAGCCTCTTATAAAAATATAACTGAATACCATAGCCATAGCTAAAATAATTTCTCAAAAATTCTTCAATATTGTCAAATATCTAGTCATTTCAAATTTCCCAAATTTTCTCCTAGCTCATTTTTGTTGTACAGTTGGTTTGTTCAAATCAAGACCCAGAGGATATTCACAATTAAAGACCTATAAAGGACTTTTAAGACTCTCTTACCACCATTTCCTTGTGTTTAATGAAGTTCACTAAACACACTAAAATTTGATCAATTTTGACATGCTTTATAGACTTGTCAAACTGTCAGTGTAGTCTCACTGTAGTCTTAAGGTTTATTTGTTTATTTATATATTTATTGGTAGTACCAAGGATTAAATCCAGGGTCTTTGCCCCTGAGCTACACCCTCAGCCCCTTTTATTTTTTGTTTTGAGACAGGGTCTTAATGAGTTGCTAACTTGCCCAGGAAAAACTTGCAGCTAGGAGGAACTTTTGATCCTCCTGCCTCAGCCTCCTGGAGTGCTGGGATACAGGTGTGAGCCACTATGCCTAGGTAGGAATGTTTTTTTTAAATTACAGCTTTCCCTTTCTGCTTTTTTCTTTCTTTCCTTGCAGTTCATTTGTAGGAGAAACTAGGTCGTTTATTCTGTTGCATTCCTGGCGTTCACCTTTTGCCAGTTGTAGTTCTGGGATGGTGTTTGACGTGGCCTTATGTTCCCAAAATTGGTTGTTAAATCCAGTTCTTGATCTGACTCAGTTTTGAATTTTATTTTTGAGGAGGGGGCGAGATGGACAGAGTTGTGTTCCCCATCAGCGAGTGCTTCCTTTTTTTTGCTTTCCTTTTACCTATCTAGCCAGGTGTGATGGTGCCTGCCTGTAATCCCAGTACTCAAAAAGCCAGGCAGGAGGACCACAGCCTGGGCAACTTAGCAAGACCGTGTCTCAAAAAAAAAAAAAAAAAAAAAAAAAG